CTTATTTATAGAGCCTATCGACTCTGGAGTCGACATTAGGAAATCCTCTGACCTGTCTTGATAGGATCTTGTGGGACACTGTTATGTAATGTGACAGTTGGTTTGTGATTGTCCGCAGTCACAGAGTGGGGATGGTCGTTTACTCCATTTGTGCATTATGTAACCGCATCTAGCGTGTTAGGTTCTGATTCGGTTCAGCATAGTTCACGTGTTGCGTGGTAAGTCAAAACCTGGTGGTTTTTGTGTGATGTAGGGTAAGCTGCTATTTTGTTGTTCCATCCATTCTCGAGTCCAACTGGTCGTTAAGTTAAACTCATTTTCCACAGCAGTCTGTGCTGTTTTTATTGGCGGTCGTCTGGAATGTAGACGGTTACCGTTTCCAGCATCTATATCTTAATGGATTGGCAGGATCTCGTTACCAAGTATCTTTCTGCACTCACTAATGAGTTAGTGTATGCGTTGTAGTTTGGATGGTGGAATGTGGCCCAGTACTGGGAGCCATTGCGTAGGGGTGGATTTAATAACACCAGCAATCATTCTCATTGCATTGTTCAATTGGACATCTACTTTGTGTATATAAGCCAGGCTGAAGAGCAGTATTACGTGGTTGAGAAGACAAGGTCCAAGGCAGATGATCACAAGGTAGAAGCCGATGCTTCTCATGTTGTGCCGCATAGCTTCTGGATGATGTTGTTTCTGAATTTGAAGTTTTTCCGCTGTTCTTGACAAATGTTCTTTGAAAGATAGGGTTCTAACAAGAGTCACCCTAAGGTACTTCGGTGTTTTATTGTAGGCGAGTGTGGTGTTTTCGAAATGTATATTGAGTGTTCTTCCTGCAAACTTGTTATTTAGGTGAAAACTGGAAATCTCTGTTTAGATTGCGTTTGTTTGAAGCCTCCATTTACGATAATACTTTACCACTGTGTGTAAGTCCGTTGTGAGTATTTCTTCTGTTTGTTCAAATGACTCACACCTTGTTACAAGGACCCAATCATCGACGTAACCGAACGTCCTTGATCTGGTTTCTGGTATATCAGCGATGTACAGGCTAAAGAGAAGAGGAGCTAGGACAGATCCCTGAGGCAGTCCATTCATCGGTTTTCTTGGTGTGCTGATGTCCGTTCCCATGACTACTTGAATCGTTCGGTCGGCTAGCATGCTGTTGATTATTCGAGCGGTGAATTTACAGGAGATTGTACGAAGGAGCTTATCATAGGCCGCCGTTCGGTCTATGAATTTAGAAGTTGTCTCTAAAACCTTGCCTTAATAAATGTGATAAGTGAAAGAACATGATCAGCTTCTTTTCGATCGAAAACCTGCCTGATCAACCGGTATTGATTCAAGTAGCTTTGGACTAATTCTTTTGTAGATAAGTCGTTCTAGTAACCTAAACCTCGCCGATAGTAGGGCTATTGGTCTGTAGTTCCTAGGGTTGATATCATTTGGTTATCCTGGTTTTAATATGGCAATGAACTTCGAACGTTTGAATTCTTGTGGTATGGTAACGGTCTTCATATCGTCTGTGAAAAAGTGGGTCATCTATTTTCTTGCATATTTGCCGCTGTTTGCAGTGAATGAAGTTCTTCGGTCGATAGAATATGTAAACCTTGTTACCAAGAGAAGCAGATTCACTTAATCAGACATAAAGTTAATATTTAATTGGAAAACCAGATAAAAATACGACAGAAAGGTCGGCTGGCAAATTTCATGTATGCAATGTTGGCGACACTGTGCGTCTAAAAACACCCAATGTAGATAGACGAAAAGTCGAATTTTTGTTGTTACTCTACCTTGAGCAAATTTCATCCAAGTCTCCATGCCCACAGCTTAAAGTAGTCGTTTTATGTGGTCTTCTTTTAGTTGGGGCTTCTTCCCATAGCAGCCTTACTATTCTTTCGTAAGAATGTCTTATGAGGTGTCTTACCCACTAAAGTCTTCTGGACTTTTTCTTCTATTATATTAGCGTTTGAATATAGCTCTTCGAGTTCTTTATTAGTATCGTTATTAATTACTATTTAACTGGGAATAAGCCACAATTAAAGATAAAAATACGTTTATTGACGTTTCAATTTCCACTTCGGAAATCGTTCTCAAAATACAAACAGCAAATTAAACAAATTTTGTTTTTTGTTACAAAGTAAAAAATTCTTCTAATAATTTAATTTTATCTGACTCATTTATATTGACAATTCAGACATACATTATGCAGTTTAGGTAGACGACTTTAAAATGATATTTGCCAATATTGTTGAGTTGCGTTCCTGGGACGACTTTACTTATAAGATAGTTCATTCGATTACATGAAATCAACTTTAACTTGTGAATATCCGCTAGAAAAAATTATAGCATATAATTCGTCTTTAAAAAGACAAACACATGACATGATGACAGTAAAATTCTCCTGTTAGTAATTCCATAGTAAATTATGAGGGAAAAACCAGGAAAAAAACCTCATAATACTATCCCGACATGGTAAGTATTTGTTCGTGCATTTAGTTTACCTTCTATAAACACCAAAATTCTGATTTTATATGTTTCGTTATTTAAAATACATAAATGATGTATCCTCTATATGATACTGACTTACTAATACTGGTATTTTCTTATTAATAACTTCCTCTTTCAATATTAGTAACCAGATCCTACTACATTCTGCCGAGGAATTTGCGACACAATTGGCCTCATTTAGCATAATTAAAGCCGCTTCTTTGATTTTTCTTTTTTTACCATCCGTCTCTTTTGGGACTACATTTGAATTATTCCATTGCACCCTATGTTCATTATCCCATGCGTGTTTACATATTTAAGATCTATCAAATTCTCTATTTTTAATATAAGACTGATGTTCACTTATTCTAACATTTAATGGCCTTGATGTTTTACCTAAATAAACCTGATCGCATTCACAAGGTATTTTATAAATGCAATTCTTTGTCCTTTCTTGTTCATTGTTAGGTTTGGTTTTGGACAAGATAGATCTCAACGTGTTTGTTGTTTTGAATGTTGTTGAAATGTTGAATTTATTGCCTATCCTTTTAAGTTTTTCTGATAATCCTTTTATGTACGGTATTGTTATTTTCCTCGTATTATTCCTTGTGTTTGCTGTAGGATCTCGTTCTAAAATAAGGAATTTTCAACAATCGATCGAATAGAACAGAACATTTTAGAAGGAGATCCTACAGCATACACAAGGAATAATACGAGGAAAATAACAATACCATACATAAAAGGATTATCAGAAAAACTTAAAAGGCAATAAATTCAACATTTCAACAACATTCAAAACAACAAACACGTTGAGATCTATTTTGTCCACAACCAAACCTAACAATGAACAAGAAAGGACAAAGAATTGCATTTATAAAATACCTTGTGAATGCGATCAGTTTTATTTAGGTGAAACATCAAGGCCATTAAATGTTAGCATAAGTGAACATCAGTCTTATATTAAAAATAGAAAATTTGATACATCTCAAATATGTAAACACGCATGGGATAATGAACATAAGAACAATGGAATAATTCAAATGTAGTCCTAAAAGAGACGAATGGTAAAAAAAGAAAAATCAAAGAAGCGGCTTTAATTATGCTAAATGAGGCCAATTGTGTCGCAAATTCCTGGGCAGGATGTAGTAGGATCTGGTTGCCAGTATTGAAAGAGGAAGTTATTAATAAGAAAACACCAGTATTAGTAAGTCAGTAACATATAGAGGATACATCATTTATGTTTTTTAAATAACGAAACATATAAAATTAGAATTTTGGTGTTTATTCAAGGTAAACTAAATGCACGAACAAATACTTACCATGTCGGGATAGTATTATGAGGTTTTTTTTCCTGGTTTTTCCCTCATAATTTACTATGGAATCACTAACAGGAGAATTTTACTGTCATCATGTCATGTGTTTGTCTTTTTAAAGACGAATTATATGCTATGATTTTTTCTGACGGATATTGTCAAGTTAAAGTTGATTTCGTGTAATCGAATGAACTATCTTATAAGTAAAGTCGTCCCAGGAGCGCAACTCAACAATAATGGCAATATCATTTTAAAGTCGTCTACTTTAAAATGCATAATGTATGTCTGAATTGTCAATATAAATGAGTCAGACAAAATTAAATTATTAGAAGAATTTTTCACTATGTAACAAAAAACAAAATTTGTTTAATTTACTGTTTATATTTTGAGAATGATTTCCGAAGCGGAAATTGAAACATCAATACACGTATTTTTATCTTTAATTGTGGCTTATTCCCAGTTAAATAGTAATTAATTTAAAATGCCACTAGAAAATAGCTTCAGAACAATAGTATCGTTATATTGCATGTATCGTTTGCTATGATGCTATTTTTAGATAAATATTATAGAATAGTTGAAGACATGTTCTCGAGATATCTGTTAAAGTGTGGCAACAAACTCCATCATATTGACAAAGTTTTACCTGCAAGAAAATCTTTACTAAAGGCTAGTAGCCAGTCTCTGTCTGGTGGTCCAGGCTAGGAAAGGTGCCATTATAAATCAAAATGCACTATACTTAAATGTCTTTGTAAATTTATTAGAGTATTATGTAAATTAAAATGTCATTTGTTTTTGATCGCTGTTAATTACGTCAATTTCTCAATATATATCAATTATATATTTTGGACAATCATTTTTTAGTCTACTTTTAATAAGGCAAATAAATAAAGCAAATACAATTTATATATAAGTAGTGTGTATATATAGTTATGTGTATGTAATAATGTATCAAAGTTTATAATGTACTACTTTATCCATTGGACATTGCACAGATCTAGAATGACCCGAATATATCAAGAAGTTCCCAGTCTCGTTTGCCTTTTAGTCTACCAATTTGGATATTTCGTAAAGTATAAGGGTCAAATTATTTTTACTCAATTTCTCGTAACATATTATGTAACGTCTTTATCCTAATAAGCATAAACAAACAAAAAAGGTGATATAATAAAAATAGAAAGTCAATTTACAGTATCAAATTACCTGTCCCGTATCCGTTAGTGTCACCCACGTTGTTACGGGTTGTCTTAAACTCACATCAGACAATCGAATCTCCCCATCTCCTACTAAAGTATGCGATAAAAAGTCTGTTGAATATACGTGAAAGGACAGTATCCTTTGTGATTGTTCCCTAAAACAAAGAAAATTTTACACATTTTTAAACGCTTTTATTCTATGCAGAAACTTGGTCGCTCTTGGTTTCCACTGTGCTGTAAAAAGAGTTTGAGGATTTAAAATATTCTGGAAGTTGAAACATTCCCTGTTGTAGGTTTATTTAAAAATATTTAAGTAATTTAAATCTTTTGAATTAACATTTTTTTATCCATATAAAAATACATTATGGTTTAAAGTTTCTTAATAATATTAATTCTTTGCTAAATTTAGTTTGATATTTCTTTCAATCATAAAAAACTGCCGAACCATTCAGTCTTTTTATCCAAAGCTCATACTTAAGCGTAACAATTTCGACTATTAAGATATATAAATTTTTTTTAGAACTAATTTTTACTTCAAGTGTCATCTTCATTTCTAATATCGTTTATTCTTCGTTCGTTATTATTATTAATATTTTATCTTCGTATTAAGTTCGTTATTCGTGCAGAAGTTTATCATCAGCTCCCCATTGTAGTTTTTAACATTCTCTTTATGGTTTTGTTTATACACGCGTGTTAATTAAAGGCCTATTTGAAGGTTTATTTCAAGGTTTTTATTGTTTACTTTGAACGAAGATATCTTCAAGAGATTGGAAGCGTTTAAGATGTGACTTTGTCGGAGACTGCTCAACATTCCGTGGATAGATGGAACTACCAATGAAAAGGTCGTTAGAATAATTAAGAAGTACTGGAAGGTACTGAACAATGCTTGCAGTACTTCGGAGACATTATGCGAACTGAATCCAGATATGCCCTCCTACAAGCTATCCTACAGGGAAAGTATTTGGAAGGCGAGGTCCACAAAGAAGAATATCCTGGTTAAAAATCCTCAGAACCAGATTCAGCACAACATCTGTACAATTTTTTTCTTATTGTTGCAGTAAATAAATAGCCTAAGTAAATATTGTCATGATGATCGTCAACATTTGTCACGGATAGGCAGATCAAAAAAAATTCAGTATTTTCTGCATTGGCTATTTACGATATTTATGTGATATGTTTTGTATTATTTATTAAATGTTTTTTTCAATAAAATATTGATTCAATCCTTCATTTACTATACTCCTATTACAGGTCAAATGTTTATATACAGCAATCGATGCACCATATACCTATACACCTAATAATTTTTCTCTTTCTACTCTCTCTTACCTATAGCATTACATATGTAATGATTGTGCAGATTCACTCCCATATATGTTTGTATCGGCGAACGCGTGTATAGAAGTATAACTTTTACCGGCAATCCCACTGGACTGCCACACTCGTTTTTTAATCTTCCCTCATTATTTTCAATTCTTTGAAAATTTCACGTCTAATTTTTCAACTGCTCATTGATAATAGCACACCGAGACTAAAGCTGAATTGCGTGTTGCTAATGAGTTAATCTATTTTAAAGTATATTCTTGGTGAATGAGTCTATTGTGCTTTCTGAAAGTCGCTATTTCTATACTGGTGGTATAAGCTCTCCGTTAACAGCCGATGGGTCTTTTAGTTGGCCCTGGTTTATTCAACTCCCATATATTAATTGGGCATTTTACTAGGATCATAGGCTTTTATAGCAACGGTAAAGTACCTATTTGAATTAAAAAAAAAGAGAGGGAGAGGAAGAGAAAGAGAAAGAAAAAGAAACAGTCTGCGACCGTGGTCGTCTATCACCCCGTTTTCTTTAAATTATTTTTATTTATGAATTCAGAAGAATTAATCCACTCTGCATCCGCTTCTGGCAAATATCTGTTTGTTTTCCCTACACTTTTATTTATGGATTAGTAAGAGACACTTTGTTCAATCACAAATTAATCCCATAATTTGCATTCTTACACTATTCTTAATTTCTTAATCTTTTATAGTTTCGCTGTATATAATTGAGACATTGTAATACTATATCGAGTAATATTTTAATAATTAAAGTCCATTCACCTGTTAAAAAATTGTCGAATATTATATTATTCTAATTGAACTTCCTAAGTGTTGCAATTACGGCCTAGATTTAATTGTATTGTAAGCTCATAGTTCAAAGTTTGTTAGTCTGGTAGAAGCATTAACCTCTGTGCTAATGTATACATTATTTGTGAGATTATACATTGGGGATTTAAGCTCATTTAAGTGCAGTCTATTGTAGATAGTTACCTAACCAACATCTATAGTGTAATTATTAGTAGCTGTCAATAAAATCATAATTTTTACTCCACAATTTCAACTTTTTATTGTATTTCTCATCGTCGATCAAGAAGAAGCGGACAAAGGAGCAATACAAAATGGTTCTTCTTCCAGAGTATCTCTTCTTGTTTAGTGACCATTTTATTCCCGAACGACGAAGTTGTCATGCACAACAATGCACTCATAGTGTGTCAAAGATACTGTTCCTTTAGAGTTCGTCAACAGTATTGCTTATACAACACTTCTACTTCTGTGTCATGCGTGACCTGGGCAGTAGTCCAAATTTCATCATACGACAAGTCAGTTGTGGTTCGGCACACGCTTTGTAAGTCATGTTTTTATAAATAGTGTTTCATGAATATGCTTCGCTTGCGTTTTTAATTTTGTTTAATTGCAGTTTGTAACTATTGTGTGGGATCTTGTTGTCAGTTCAATCAGGTATTTAGTATTTTTCCTGGTATATTGATGTTTAAAGCGCTTTTTACTTAACACCTGTTTTAAATCTAGCGATAAATGGGAAATGATTAGAAAATATATGAAGACTTTGGTACACTTTTATTACTTGAATTGAATTTCAGTATCTATGTTATGACGTAATTTATCTAATTTCTGACTGTGATGCTATCAGATTATCTAATATATGACAAATTGCCTTATTATGACTTATGCATCCATAAACAAAATAAAACATTGAATAAAGTCAACATAAAATAAGTAGTAAATAATTTTATTACATACCTTGGATTCATAGAAAACAGGAACCTCTCTTTGTAGCTAGGACTTCCTGAACTACGATATACTTTGGTCTGTATGGTTGCTTCTTTGTCTGGTAGCAGCGTCACTCTGACATACGTGTCTAGATTGTCGTCTTTTTTTACAATACCACGCAACTCTTTTGCTTCAAGAACGTTAACAACTAAATCCCAACATTCGCTATAATAAAAATATCAAATTATATCATACATTAATAAACATTGTATGTCTATAAGGATAATATTAACTTTATTAAAGTAGACTAGCGATTATCCGAGGTCATTGGGACCGTGGCTACCTCGGATATCGAAAAAACTCGGTTAACAGTGAGATTGGTTCTACTGATAGAAAAATGTGTATCTATGTAAATAATGATTAATGTTTTTATTTTAATAACTAAAAACTAATATAAAAGGAGTACAAAAGATAAAAAATTTACCTTATAAATGTTATTGTTTTAAAAAGTCTTTAATTGATTTTTGTTTTAACTTCATCTCTCTTCTTGGGCGGCGATGTTGCGCCAGCGTGTCGATTCTTCTTGTTGCCCGATGTATGCGACATCTGCTTCAAGCGACTTCAATCCATTGGAATTAGAAATCTTTTGAGTTATCTCATCTGTATCTTCTTCTTCTTCTTCATGGGTGACGTTTAGAACTAGAATGGCAATTGCATTATCTGCCAGTTTCAGTTCTTCATCTAGATTTTGGTAATTGATTGGCTAGGTTGGCTATATGATCAACTTCACAGTCATCAGTTTAATTTTTTAAACGCCTTGTGTTTTGTTGTCTATCTTAAATAATTTTTTCCACAACTTCTGAGTAGTGGACACTTGTACGTCGTCCCAAGTAGATTCAATTTAATAGCAAACATCTTTAACCGTGATTTTCTTCAATGCCTCAATTACAGTCAGCCCTTCATCTAGCTTAGTTAGAAGAAATCGGCTTCCGGCAATAATTCTTCTTCATTGCTTCTATAACGCCTTGGTCTAGGGGTTGGTTGACAGACGTCACATTGGGTGGAAGAAACACAGCTCGTATGTCACCACTAATCAAGCCACCCGCATCTGAGTTCCCACCCTTTGTTGTTATCCAACAACAACAAAGCATTCCAGGACAGATTTTTGTTTATTAGGTAGGTATCAATGAGTGGCACGAAGTCATTAAAATACCTGTCCTTAAAAGTGTTACAGTCCAATCTATAGATTGCAATGGTTGCTATAGATTATAGGAAAACAATTAAATTAAACATTTTTGAATGCTCTTGGATTTCTGGATTTTCCAATTAAAAGAGGTTTTAATTTTAATAAACTAAAAGCATTGTTGCAAATCAGGATTGTGACTCTTTCTGTGCTTTTTTTGTAATCTGGTGCAGTTCCTTCATTTTTATCAGCTAGTGTTTTCGATGAAAGCATTTTAAAGCTAGGGCCTGTCTTATCACAGTTAAATATTTGGTCTGAATTTCAATTGAGTCAGTAGAAAGTTTTTTGCCATAAATATTCAATTGTCGGATGCATATTTCTTCTTCCATAAGTTAATCCATCGTTCACTAGCACAAAAGTTTTCTGCTCCATTAATAAACTTCTTCTAGAATTTAATAGCTTTTGCTTGAAGTATTGGACCACTTATCGAGCTACCCAATTCTCTTATTTGTGAAAACCACAAGAATAACGCCTCAGAAGTTTGTTTATGGTCCCCTTTCTTCATAGTCTTTCGGGCCAATCCACTACCACCACTCAAACTTCGGTTGACTCACTGTTCGATTTCATTCCACTTACACTTCCAAGCTCCGATAGTTAATTATCCAACACCTAAATCTGAAGCAACCTTTTTTATTAAATCACACTTGTCCAAGCTCTTAATTGCATTCACTTTTATTTTCAAATATATAACTACTCTTTTCCACTTTCCACTCATATTGCACAGAAAGATGCTCTCTTATACTCAGAAAAATCAACTTATGAAAAATTAATTATAAAACCGAAACTAATAAACTCGAACAAATACACAAAACAGTACATAAAAAGAACAATTTTGCCGTACAGTAACTTAATTTTGACGATCTGAACGACAGCAAACAAAAATATGACGATCTGAACGACAGCAAATAAATCGGTAGTTCAATTCACACTGAATAACATAGAAACAAACAGGAAGTTGTAGACAAAACACGACACAGAAATTTCTGGAAATAAGACGGTGACCAATTTCTAAGAATACCGACTGGACAGCTTGACCTAAAGCATACCTTACACACATTTCGCTTCTTATCAATAATTCACAATTTTCAATAGATTGCCCATAAAACAGCTGCCGATATACCTTGTGACCATTGACCCTTTTTTTCTCAATATTTTGATTCAACAAGTACGACTATAAAAGTACATAAGACCGAGGGAAAATTTTGCCTCGGTGGGCTAGGTAGTACCGAGGGGCTAGGATAACCTAGACTCGGATGATCGCGAATTTACTGTATTTTTTAAATTTGTTTCCCTTGGGAAGTAACAGTCTTTATACTATAGTCTACTACTACTAGTACATACTAACAGTCTACTAAAATAATACACTAAATGAAAGTTCAATAGTAAATTATAACATACTTTATACATGCAATTATATATATATATATATATATATATATATATATATATATATATATATATATATATAATATATATATATATAAATATAATATAAAATTAATGTTTCTTGGGTTTAGGTTCAATAAAGATATATTACATGTGGAACTAGATTTTATTTTCCATAACAATCAATCAACGTTTCGGCAGGAAACCTTTGCCTTTGTCAAGATTCTAAAATGTATATGTATAAGGACAAACAGATATTGTAAAATATGTATGTATATATATATATATATATATATATATATATATATATATATTACTTACCAAAACAAGATGATGTAGGACATCTAATTAGCGAAGACCAAAGCGGATTTACGCCTGGTAGATCTTGCACTGATAACTTGTTTATACTCCAACAATTAATAGAAAAAAGAATAGCGGTTGGTAACGAAGTAGATCTAGCCTTCATCGATCTAGAAAAAGCGTATGATACAGTACCAAGGCCTAAATTGTGGCAAGCTTTAAAACAACTCGGCATTAGTCCACACCTTTTAGGAATAATCACAGAAGTATACAGAGATAACACCACTTACCCAAAAATCGGAAATAGACTATCAGAGCCGATAAAAGTAACTAAAGGACTGAGACAAGGATGCAGTATGTCACCTTTACTGTTTAATTTATATATTGAGGCAGCCCTTCAAAATTGGAAAAACCACTGCCAAGGAATGGGAATCCCAATAGGAAATGACGTACTGTTCTCCCTGAACTTTGCGGATGACCAAGTCGTTCTAGCTCAAGATTCTTATGATCTAGAATTTATGATAAAGCGTCTATACAGAGAATATGTAAAATGGGGGTTAAAAGTCAGCATGAAGAAAACGGAATATCTAGTTATCAATTCAGATGCAAGGTTTGAAGTGTTGATAGACGAGGGCGTGGAAATCACACAAGTGGAAAAATTTAAATATTTAGGTGCATTCATTGATAAGAATTTGCCATCAACATATTAATTCAGCGATGTCAGGATGTGAATGTTGATCTACACTTGTGCTTCGTTGACTACGAAAAAGCTTTCGATAAAGTAAGACATGAAAAACTAATATCAATACTTATGAACAAGCGCATTGACAGTAAAATCATAAATATAGTGCAAACATTATATTGGAACCAAAGTGCCATAGTTCAAATTGATGGGCAACACTCAGAAGAAATGAGGATCTGTAGAGGAGTTAGACAGGGATGTGTGTTATCACCACTTTTGTTTAACTTATATTCTGAAGAAATTTTCCAAAACACGCTCAATAATATCGAAGCGGGAGTCACCGTTAACGGAAAATTAATTAATAATTTAAGATATGCAGACGACACTGTGATCATAGCAACGAGTGTAGAGGATTTACAACATCTTATCGAAAGCTTGAGTATAAATAATGCTGAGATGGGAATTACTATAAACGCCAAAAAAACGAAGTACATGCTGATTACAAAAAGGCCACAAAATATACATCACCTATTGACAATAAATGGTAACGTGATAGAACAAGAAGTAGAAAAATATCAGTATTTGGGAACTTTGATCAATGAAACCAATGATCATACTGTAGAAATAAACAGACGAATAGAGATTGCCAGATCAGCATTTATACGAATGAAGCCACTCCTAACCTGCAAAAATCTAAATTTGGAGATCGGACTACGTACCACTCGCTGTAATATATTTTCAATATTATTATATGGAGCTGAGACTTGGACATTAAAAAAATGTAATTTAAAAAGAATCGAGGCCTTCGAACTCTGGTTATACCGCAGAGTATTGAAAATATCATGGACTGATAGAATTACAAATAAAGAAGTACTGGAGAGGGTTGGTAAAGAAACAGAACTAATCACCACTATACAAACCAGAAAACTGGAATACCTAGGCCACGTGATGAGGGGACCAAAATATGAAATTTTGAGACTGATAATACAGGGAAAGATTCAAGGAAGAAGATCTGTTGGTCGAAGGCAGAACTCATGGTTAAAGGATCTACGTGATTGGTACCAATGCAGATCGATTGATTTGTTTAGAGCAGCCAGTTCTAAAATAAAAATAGCCATTATGATTGCCAACCTCCGTAGGGAGACGGCACTCTAAGAAGAAGAATTGATAAGAACGGCTTGGGTGAAACCGAAATTAAACACCGAATTATTCAGGGACGTAAAATTGTAGGATGTTTGAACTCCTTATGGTGGGATCGCAACATTTCCAAAAGGAACAAAAAAAGAATAGGGCAAACGATGGTTGAATCAGTTCTTTGTTAAGGCTCTGAAGTATGGACAATTAATGCAGACCTGAAAAGAAGATTGTTGGCAGTTGAAATGAATTATTTGAGAAGAAGTGCTAGAACATCAAGGCTGGAAAGTAAAACCAACGAATCTATATGAAATCAGATGAATGCTACAGATACGGTCATAGACAGAATAGAAAGAAGAGGTTTAAAATGGTTTGGACACCTGTTAAGAATGCCTGACGAACGTTGGCCCCAAAAACTTCACAGATGGAGGCCCCCTGGTAGAAGAAAAAGAGGTAGGCCTCGACGCTCATGGAATGAAGGTATTAGAAGAGCAATGGAATCGAGAGGTTTAGAGGAGGAGCATGCCTTAGACCGAGAGGATTGGCGGAGGAGGACGGGAATACGGCGATAGCCGTCTCCAAGATGTATTTTATTTACAAATTGGATCCTGTAATATATATATATATATATATATATATATATATATACTTACCAAAACGTAAAACGTGACACAGACATTAACGAACTGACAAATAAAAGTTGATATCTAATTGTTTACGGTCATTAGTATATAATTATTTTTATATGGGCGTATCGTTGATGTTTTCGAAAAAGGTAAGGTGGAGATATGTTATGACTTTAAGAGCTTTTTAGAATGTTATATTATTATTGTTTAAATCAGATTGAAATATATTTTATATAGATTTTGTGTATCTTTTTTTGATTTGAATTTAATTTTTAATTTTGAACATTAATTTTATATTGTATATATATATATATATACAATTACAAATACATATATACAATTATAACATACATAGTTATATTATAACATACATACCTGTCGTATTCTAGGCCTATACATAAATACCCAGTAATATTCAACATTTCTAAATCACCCAGTCCGACTGAGGTGTCAGAACACACGCTATCACACGATATAGCTCTTTTTAGAGCCACAGGCACCACTTCTGTTTCCTCGCAGGCCACTGGAATTGGTGGCAAATCAAGAGAACCTATATGCTGTCCTTGTTGGATATATACACCTGCAAAATAAATGTACTTATAGAGTCAGAACGTAAAACTTTAGTTAATATGATCATTAAAAGTTCTATGCGAGAGGCATTCACCCCTGATCCGACCGTAACCACAGCGTTCTACTTCTACATTTACATTATGCTTATGTTTTGAGGTCGTTAAATTACAACCTAAAATTATTTTTAATAACTTTTAAATGTAATACGTGTTATACATTTTAATTATGTTTCGTGATATTTATTACAAAAAATTTTTACAAATTTTTAAACGTATTTTGCATGCATTCTTTTAATTATCACTGATAAAAGTGAATGACAAAGTCGGGTTGTAGAAAAAAAAACTATTGCGCATTCAAATATGACAAATAAACAAGTTTCTTGGAAATTCTGGAAGTTTGCGTAGATTGACTTTTGACGCCAACATGATAATAACATCAATGATTAGTTGTCGTATAAAATTTAAATTATACATACAGTGAGGTCCTAAAATAACGGATAAATTCATTTTATACAATATTATAAATACAAATGAAAAATTTTGAATCAGATCAATTTTTAGATATGAAAATATACTTTTCCAATGACATTATTCAAATGTATCTTGAACTTCCTAGGGTAGTAGTTACCCCTGAAAAATTTTAAGTAAAAAGGGATAGCGTATGATACAGCCTTTAAAAAGCATTTTCAATGCTCTAGTTAGCAATTATTTTGTTAGCAAAAGAAGTAGAACGCAGCATACAAAACTGGAACGAGAACTTAATACAGCGAGTCATTGAAAACAACAGAGGCTCAAAATGTCTAATACCCGCATTGGGAGTTCAGAAAATCGTTAAAATTAAAGACGCTAACAATAAGGAAGAGAAGGACAAATATAAAATAACAAATATTGTCGAAGACTTTTACACATCCTTGTACAGCTCGCAAAGCCAGCTAAATGAAACAACAAAGGAGAACGTCAGAAGAAAAATAAAAAACGTGGGATCAGAAGTACTACCAAATATAAAGGGATTTGAAATAGAAAGAGCTTTAAAAGAGCTAAAAAATAATAAAGCTTCAGGACACGACGGTATAATTGCCGAGCTCTTGAAAACAAGTAAGACATTAACAACCCCTGTACTAACAGAGCTATTTAATAGATGTCTCTATAATAGCAAGATCCCTAAAGACTGGAACGCGAGTCTAGTAATACTCTTACACAAAAAAGGGGACAAATGTCATCTACAGAATTATAGACCTATATCGTTGCTTAGTCAAGTATACAAACTATTTATGAGAATTATTAACAACCGGTTGAACAGGCTGGCTTCCGCAGAGGATGATACAGTACATCAGACCATCTGCTGACAATGAGAACATTAATAAAGAAGGCAAATGAATACTAACTACCCGTATTTCTTGCCTTCGTCGACTTTGAAAAGGCGTTTGATAGTATCGAGATGTGGGCCATAGACAAGCTATTAATAAGTGTAGAATAGATTCGAGATATACGCAACTAATACATATATAACATGTATGAAAATGCAACTATGATAGTACAACTAGAAGAAAATACAAATCCCATCCATATTAAGAGAGGAGTGAGACAAGGAGACGTAATATCGCCAAAGCTTTTCAACCTAGCGCTAGAAGTCGTCCTTAAAACTACAAATTGGTCAACCTATGGCATTAACGTTAACGGCAACAAGTTAAACCATTTTAGATTCGCTGACAACATAGTGATTTTGGCGAGCACATTCGAGGAACTGCAAATTATAATGGGAGAACTAGCAGGCAGAACTAGTCGGCCTAAAAATGAATATGAAAAAAAAAGACAAACACAGATGACTCTAGACGTATTACTATAAATGGCAGTGAAATAGAACAAGTCCAGGAATATATCTACTTAGGCCAAATCCTGAAACTTGACAAAGAGAACCAAAGTGCTGGAATTACTAGATGAGCAAGACTAGCATGGGCAGAATTTGGAAAACTAAGTTGGATACTTAAAAACCGCAAAGTACCCCAATACTCGAGGAGCAAAGTGTTCAACCAATGCATCCTTCCTATCATGACATATGGATGCCAAACCTGGACCATAACCAAGGCAAACATGAATAAACTAGCCACAACAGAAAAAAGAAAGAGCCACAATGGAAAGAACAATGTTAGGTACACGACTGTCAGATAAAAAGAGGAACGACTGGGTAAGATCAAAAACAAAATTCGAGGACATAATAACAAAAATTGCCAAACTTAAATGGAGCTTCGCGGGCCACACTGCTAGACAAAAAGACCAACGTTGGAATACTACAATACAACATTGGAGACCTTACGAAAGTAAACGACCAAGAGGAAGACCACAGATGAGATGGGTTGATGACATAAAAAAATGGCCGAAACAAATTGGAAATATGTTGCTCAAGATAGAGACCGATGAAAGGAGTTGGGAGAGGCCTATGTCCAAACATGGACGCTAGAAGGCTAAGAAGAAGAAGAAGAAGAAGAAGAAGTTAGCAATGTAAGTATTATTAAGGGATAGTCAAGGAAAATATTATTTTATTTCATTCTATCAAAAAACTATCGTGTCGAATATCTTTCACGATTGATTCATCTATTAGTTGTTTTGCTTGTCCAAAAAGTAACATCTTTAACTAAGACTACTACTACTAGACATCTAAACTAAGAATGTTTTCAAAGAAGTCATCGACAACTGGTTAAAGTCATGGCCTATAACAAGACAAAATTACAGTGACGATAATGTTTTCAATGCCAACGAGCTAGGACTTTTTTTAAAACTTACTCCAGATATGACCCTCAAATTAAAAAATGGACGTTGTATAGGTGACAAGTTATTAAAAGAAAGGGTAACTGTACTAGCGTGTGCTTACATGCCCGGTTTCGAAAAAAGGAAGTTAGTTATCATTGGGAATCTCAACAACCACAATGTTTCAGTGGTTTGAATTAGCTTTCTGTCACATATAAATTTAATAAAAAATCGTGTTAAAGTTAACGGTTTAAAAAACATTCAACTTCATTTTTTACCATCAAATTGCACATCTGTTCTGCAACCAATGGAACCAATAAGGCCTCTTAAAGTTCACTACAGCAAACTTTTAGTTAAGCGGATCCTAAATAATGTGAAAAACCATAGTGAATCCCCTATTACTTTATTAGATGCCATAAATTTCATCCACGATGCATGGACACTCGTAGATAAAAAAACGATCAGAAAATGTGTCGATTATGCGGGGTGGACAGAGACTAAGGTCGAAAACGAAGAAGAAATATCCTTAAGTAGAGTGATTGAAGTTATAACAGCAAGGTCAAGAACTAACCCAACTTTACAATGATGACGAGTTTGCTAAATTCATTGCCATTGATGATGGCGTCATATTTTGTGATCTTCCGACGGCTACTGAAATAATCGCGGAAGTAATAAATCCGCCGGCGGAGCGCTTTATCGTCAGTGACGAAAGTGATGAAGATGGAGAAGACAATCATGGTGAATTTACACCAAAAGGTCCTAATAGTCAAAATGTGGAAAGTGCTTTAAACTTTGTAAGAAACTTTATCCAAAGACAAAACGCAAATGAAGAAGCATACTACGGTTTTACATCTATAGAAAATATGATAGATAGAATGATACTAGAAAATTTAAAGCAGTCAAAAATGACAGACTTCTTCCAATTACAGAAGAAATAGTTTGAGAAGTAGAAAATACGCTTTATACATTATGTAATTGGAAAAAAATGTAAGTACAGATTTTCTGTTTGAACGTATATCATTGACAATAAAACTAGTCATTTTTTTGTTTTAATGTATTTCATTGGCAATAGAAGTAAACAACTGTTTTAAAACCGCCATTCAAACAATATTTAGCATCTTATATTGTTCCAAATGGCTTCACCATAAAAAATTAATGTTTTGGAAAACTACATATTTATATGTATGCATAGTATTATAGTGATGCTACTACAAATAAGGACATCACACACAAAACTAAATCTGATCAAGTATATGCGCCAACGACGGATGCAACAGAAGATGAAGTAGAAACATCCTACCAACAAATTGAAGATGCACTGAAAATGACAAAGAACAGGGAAATCACAGTAGTTATGGGCGATTTCAATGCAAAAGTAGGCAAAGGAAGAGCTGGAGCAGTAATGGGAGACCAAGGACTAGGGGAACGTAACGATAGAGCCAATCGTCTAATACAATTTTGCCAAGAACAAAGTCTAATAATTACAAACACGTTCTTTAAATTACCAATGAGACGGTTATATACATGGCCAGCAGATAAACCGGAAATAGTTGTAAGAAACCAAATCGACTATATAATGATTAACGAGAGATATCGTAACATCATCAAATCAGTTAAAACATATCCAGGAGCAGATGTCGCATTAGACCATAATCCACTAATCGCTAATGTCACGCTTAAGCTTAAACGTATTAGAAAACCACAAAGAACTCCAAAATTACATGTTAGAAAACTGAAAGAAGATGATATAAAAATCAAACTTCAACAGAAAATATACGAAAACTTTGATAAATTAGATACTAACACTTACGAGATAAACGAACAATGGGAAACACTAAAAAACTGCCTCCTCGCTCCATGCAAAGAGATATTAAAAGAACCGACACGAAAGAAAGACAATTGGATGACCGACGAGGTATTCGGCATGATGAAACCACTAAGACAAGCCAAGAACAAAGACAGTCACAATTACAAAATCATTAACAATGAAATCAGAAAAAAGATAAGAGAGACAAAACAAACTTACTATGTGGAAAATGTAAAGAGATAGAGGGTCTTCAGAACAAATACGACCTATTCAACATACATAAAAAGGTTAAAGAAATGGCAGGGCTGCAAAAAAGAAACTACAACACAACTCTTTTAGATAAAAATGGAAATACTATGACAACGACTGACGAAAAACTAAAACTAAAACTAAATGGGAAGAGTATATGGAAGAGCTCTTCGACGACGAAAGAGGAAACCAACAAGACTTGTATTTTGAGGACCCCAAAATAATTGTAGAAATTACAAAGGAAGAAATACTGTATGCACTAGAAAACACCAGAAACGAATAATGCCCGAAGCCAGATCAACTGCCTATTGATATCCTTAAAATAATAGAAAATGAGTACATTGATGTCCTCTTAAAGCTTTTTAATAACATTTATTAATCGGGTGACATACCCAACGAATGGTTGACCTCAACATTCATTTGTCTTCCAAAAAGGAAAAATGCTAGAGAATGCACCGACCACCGTATCATAAGCCTGATGTCTCACACACTTAAATTGTTTTTAAAGATCATTCATAAACGCATTTACAATACACTTGATATGTATATTGAAGAAACTCAACTTGGATTCCGTAATGGCGTAAGTACCCGTGAAGCTCTCTTTGCATTCAACGTACTAATCCAGATATGCTTAGATGTGAACCAAAATATGTACGTGTGTTTCATAGACAACAACAAAGCTTTCGACAAAGTCCGCCACAAAGAGCTAATGGCCCCCTCAAAGCAAAACAACTATAAAACAATGACCTTCAAATTATAACAAATCTATATTATAAACAGCAGGCACACGTACTCATTAATGAACGCACATCAGAAGAGTTCGAAGTTAAAAGAGGAGTGCGACATGGTTGTGTATTGCCATCACTACTATTCAATGCATACTCTGAAGAAATTATGAAAAGAGCTCTTGAGGGAGAAACAGCAGGAATCAAAGTGAATGGAACACCAATTAACAACATTAGATATGCAGACGATACTATCATAATAGCAGACAACCTCTAAGACCTCCAAAAGCTAATGAACAAGATAGTTGAGTATGTAGAAGAATATGGATTATCAATAAACACCAAGAAAACCAAATTTATAAGTATATCAAAAACCCAAAATAATGGTGAAAGCCTGACAATTAACGGTAGCGCTTTAGAACAATTTAAAAACTACCACTATCTTGGCACAATAATTAATCACACAAACGATTACTCCAAAGAAATCAAAGTTCGAATAGAGAAAGCACGTACAAACTTCAATAAAATAAGAAAGGTACTTTGTGCAAGAGAACTAAAATTGGACTTGAGAGTTAGGCTGGCAAGGTGTTATATTTTTTCGACTCTGCTTTATGGGATGGAAGCATGGACACTTAACGCGTCGACTGCTAAAAAGTTGGAAGCATTTGAAATGTGGCTGTATTGAAGAATCCTTAAGATATCATGGACCGAGCATGTAACAAACAACGAAGTCATGAGAAGATTCAACAAAGGACTGGAAGTATTGGAAACCATCAAGACACGAAAGCTGCAATATCTGGGGCATGATGTTATGCATAATGAGAGATACAACCTACTTTAATTGATTATACAAGGGAAAATCCAGGGCAAGAGAAGTATAAGAAGAAGAAAAATCTCATGGTTGCGTAACTTAAGGGAATAGTACGGATGCACATCACTTGAACTATTCAGAGCAGCAGCATCTAAGATCAGAATAGCGATGATAATTGCCAACCCACGTCGCGGAGATGGCACGTGAAGAAGAAGATAGTATTATTACTATCTGATATACCGATATCGGCTTATAACGAGTTAATTAGTCTGCCATTTAAGTTTTTGTTATAGAGGGAGTTGGATGCGAAACGTGGACCAGTGGACCACGACCAAAGCAAACGAAGAAAAGCTCAGACGCTTTGAACGAAAAATACTTAGAAAAATTTTCGGACCTCACCATGACATCACCACAAACAACACCCAAGAAATGTATGATTGTACAAGAAACTAAATCACAGCGACTAAGATGGGCAGGCCATGTGCACAGACTGCATAACGAAAGACTTGTAAAACTGGTATGGGAGGAGATTCCCACAGGCAAAAGACTACTCGAACGTCCCAGAATGCGATGGAGAGATAACATCCAAGTAGATCTCCGGAAATGAACATTCCATTTGACCCTAAGTTGATGGAAGACCGAACAAATTGGAAAAAAGTTGTGCAGTCAGCCAAGACCCACCCAGGGTTGAAGCGCTACGTGATGATGATTGTATAAAATGAATTATTCCGTTACTTTAGGACCATACTGTATATTTAATTAATATAAAAATAAAAGTTTTATAATAATAAAAAAATAAAACTAAAGTATAACTATTCACTTATTCCTGTAAGGAACTAAATGACCCAAAGGAAGAATAGATGACTTACATATCATGATATATGTAAGTTGTAACTCTAGTGTAAAATATTTCAATTTAAATTTAATAACCCAATATTATTTAATGACTGACTATATTGTGCAATCTCGCATTTAATTAATATTTTCTGACTTCATTATCTTTTTTAAACTGTTGAGGTTTTGACTATGAGTGTTTAGATGAAAAAACAAACTGCGCTAAGAACTTAAAGACCGAATTTTTTTTAAGTGTGATTTTGGTACTCACTTTGGGAACGGTTGTCTATTTACACATAACTTACCTGACAGCTTTAAAGGTGGTGTGCTCGAATATTGCGTGTTCACTTCCGTTGGTGGAAACTGAGACATCGAAGGGCTAGGTTGAGGAAACTGTGATATCGAAGGACTCGTAGGTATGAATCGTGCTGAATAGGAACTGGAAGGAGGTATTTCTGTGGGTAGCAAGTTGCTTTCAGGAAGATCAGGCATCGAGGGACTACTTTGGCGGAATTGGAACATAGAGGGACTAGGTGGGGGAGTTAGACAGATGGGAAATGAGGATTGTGATATTAAGCTGGCCATGTTTACTGAGGATACGGGGCGAGGTATAGGACAGATAGAAGTTTTCTCAATGTAGCTGGTTTCGTCAGTTCTGTAACAAAGAATATCATTAAATAATAATCTGCAATTTTAGTGAAACAAATTTTTTTTGTTATAACGGGGATCCAATCTATAATTAATAAACGATAATAAAAATATAAAGGTACTTTTTAGGAAGTTTTTAGGAATTCTATTTCAGGCCTTACTTCAAAGGACTTCTTGGTTAATGTATCTCCATAAACTGGTTTCTTGTACTGACCGTTTAAGAATAAGGGTATGTTTGGTAAGCAAATATAACTCCAAAGAAATAAAAACACTTGTGATGTAAGAGTTTATAACGAAACTTTAAGCAAGAAAGGGCCAACGCGGCCGTGCGATACTTTTTAATCTCAATACAATTTTTCCTTTATAGAGAATATACCACATACGGATTTGAGAAATGCTCGAATTTTACATAACTTCCGTGAGCGCGAAGTATAACTATGACTATGACTATAACTGAGCCTTGTGTACTAAATTGTTACAACATTGTACAAAACTGTGGACGTCAAATCTAAAGAACCAAAGCACAAATCGGATTTCGTTTACTTAAAAGTAGACACGCCCACTTACACTTTAAAGCTTATTCTGGCTTTTTTGGACAAAATGGCTAATATTGTGAACCAAACTAATATTTATTCGACTGAAAAAACAGGTTCCCCTCTACAACTAACTAATGCAGAACTTACAGAATTTATTTCCATAACTTTTACTATGAGCATTATACAGTTGCCAGCTATAAGTGATTGTTGGGCCAGAAATACTCGAATTGACAAAATAGCAGACATAATGCCTTTACGACGTTTTAATAAAATTAGAAGGTACTTACATTTTGCTGATAATTTTCAATTGTCTCCAAATACTAAAGACCGATTTTTCAAAATAAGGCCCCTAATAGAAAAAATTAGAACAAATTGTCAGAAATTCCACATTGGCAATCAATATTCTGTGGATGAGACTATGATTCCTTACAAAGGTACTTTTGCAGGGAATCTTAGACAATACATCAAAAATAAACCACACAAATGGGGTTTCAAATTGTTTGTGAAAGCAACTGTTTCTGGCATTATCACAGACTGCATAGCTTATCAGGGTGCGTTTACGTTTGACCAGTTAGCAGGTACCTCTAACGAATTGATAGGTGTAGAGAAGGTGTTTAAAATAACTCATATAAAGCGATATGATAAACATTCAAAACAAAAAGCTGATGTTCCTTGCCTGCCATAATAAAACAGTATAACAAACACATGGGAGGTGTAGATAAGGCTAATTCTCTTTTAGTATTATACCGCAGTCCTAGTAGGGCTAGACGATGGTACTATGGTATTTTTACATATCTATTAGATATGTGTGTTGTCAACGCCTGGCTAGTATATAAACACCATTGTGCTGAGCTAAAAGTAAAACCAATACCTTTAAAAAAATTTAAAATGGACATAGCTGAATCTTTTTACCAAACAGGTAAAATAAAAAAAGGGGGCGCCCTTCATTGAACGAGACAGTGGAAAAATTGTTACACCTACGAAAAGTCGACCACATGACATCACTAGGAAAGACAACGTAGGACATTGGCCTATCTATGGACCAAAAGGAAGATGCCGATTTTGCAAGAATGGTTACACGACAATTATGTGTCAAAAATGTGACATGAGACTATGTTTTACACCGACCAATAATTGTTTTTTTAGTTTTCATAATTCTCCATAAATTTTTATCTTTGTTTTTTTCGTAACTGTATAAGTATTAAAGTTCATATTTGCTTATTTCTGTAGTTTTTCTTATATTATATTGTAGTCCCTAAAAAAATATTTTTGTTAGTTATGATCCCTCGTTTGCACAATACAAAAATTTTAACCTCAAACTGTTACTGTTGCTTTGGAGCAACGTTCTCATTATACCACTAATGGACAATGTTGCTTGAGGGCAACATTTTTAAACTCCACTTTTTCTACAAAAATTGCATATACCAACACCGCTGATACGTTAATAATCGATTAAAAAACACTCACACGAATTTTTAGAATTTTATTTCAATGAATTTAAGGTGTGACGGTTACAGGGTTAATAGGCCAACTACAGCTACATTATTCATAACTAAACAAATCAGTTAGAAATAATTGGAATATACTAGATCTTTCTATAATCGAAACAATTAACACGACGTACGAAGATATAAGCGTATAAAACAATCATACGACCCATTGTGATATATGGAAGCGAAACGTGGACGATAACAAAGGCAAACATAGAAAGACTATGTGTTTGGGAAAGAAAAAACCTAAGGAAGATCTTTGGTCCTGTGCTGGATGAAGCATCAGGACAATATAGAATAAGAACTAACAAAGAGCTCGAAGAACTTTACCCAGATGCCAAAATCATAAAAGAAATAAAGTCTAGAAGACTCTAATGGGCAGAACACCTTAGATACATACTGACGAACGAACATTAAGACTGGTGTGGGAGCAAGTCCCAACTGGAAAAAGACCACGTGGACGCCACGGATCAAGATCTGAAAATAATTATAAATTTTTACTGTAATCAGACAGCAAATCTCAGAGTTAAAGGTGAATTCACTGACTTTGTGAAAATCATGCGTGGAGTGAGGCAAGGCTGTATTTTATCTTCTTAAATCTTCAATCTGTACTTTGAAAGAATATTTATCGAAGGTTTACACGAAACTGAAAAAGGTATTCTACTAAATGGTTACCGGCTAAACGACATCAGATATGCAGATGATACCATAGTATTTGCGGACAACTCAGAAGATCTAAAACATCTTATGAACAAAATCACGTATTACAGTCAACAATATAAACTCAATATAAACGTTAAGAAGACAAAGTTTATGATAGTTAACAAGAAAAAGAAAACAGAAGGTCAACTCTGCGTCAACCAATCTCCTGTAGAAACAGTGATGCACTACAATTACCTCGGCACCATGATAAATGAAGAATGGACCAACAACCAGGAGATTAGAGCACGCATCGCAAAAGCTAGATCCACCTTCAATCGGATGGGGGATTTCTTCAAGAGTCCCAACCTCTCTCTTGATACAAAAGTAAGAATGTTGAGATGCTAGAACGAAGATATGTGCAAACAACTGGTGTCATTTGAGGTGTGGCTATATCGGAGAATACTTAAAAAGCCGTAGACTGACCGAGTCACAAATGAGAAGGTCCTCAGAAGAATGAATAAGAACCGAGAGGTACTGACCATCATTAAATCTCGAAAGTTCCAATTCTTCGGACATAAAATGAATCCAGATATGCTCTCCTTCAAGCCATCCTGCAAGGAAAAATATTTAAAAAGCAATGTCCAGGAAGAAGAACATCTGAGTTGAAGAACCTTAGAATCTGGTTCAATACACGATCTGTGCAGCTTTACCGCGCTGCTGCAGATATGATAAAGATTGCCTTATTCGATGATACGTCACTAGAGAAAGCAGAAAAAGAGCGTCTCATGCTAGCCTACACTGATCGTGTTGGAGTTCTTGTATCCAGAAATTATAACAACCGAATGTTATTATAAGGGGTGTGCAAGTCTCTCAGACTTATCAAATTGCTTGCTTGTATTTACATGTATCTAGTAGCTGGCGCCAATCTCACTGGCATGCCAGTGCTTGACTAGGACAGCGCTGAATAGGCACGTTTACACGTGTCAGTCAGTCAGTCGTTTGTTGTACTCTTTACAGGTACGCCAGCGACTGGAACAATGTGTTTACACGTGTCTAAAACTGCTGTCTCAGAGTTAAGGGGAACGAGGATGAGGGCCACTGTCATAAAAAATAGACCAGCTCTCTATTCAAGACAGTGCTAGCTGACAGCGCTGGACTAGCGCAAAAAATATTTATATAATACCACTAATATACCAGAACTGTGTAACTGGCGCCAGTTACTAGATACGTGTAAACCTGCCTTAATTCTACTAAAGTGCCAGCGCTATCGTGCCAGTACGAGTGGTGCCAGCTACTGGATACGTGTAAACCTGTGTTTATTCTTATCAGATTCTTCCACTTCTTTCTTGGGCCATTAAAAATCGAACCAGGTTGATCCCATTGACATTTTTTTAGGTTTTAATTTGTACAACCAAGTGTTTTAAACATTTGCATAACTTACTTGATAAGCACTAACAGACTGTTTTTTGCCCAAAATTTAGCTTATTTTTAAAAGCAACAATAAACAAATTTATTGTTTCTTTTCTAACAGAACAACCTACAAAGTGCCACTTAAAAAATACTTTTTCAAGAGTTATGAAACAGTTGGCGTACTGAATAAAAATTCGTAATATTTTTTGTTCTTTTTGCGCTTCAATTTCTATCACCTTTCTCTTAAAGATCCTTTTCTGCTTCATTTAACCTAACCATCTTTTACTTAGTCGACGTACTTTTCTTTTCTCATTAATCTCTGTATTTGTTAATATCTTTAATATTCTTTCTTCTTTCGTTCTTTCTAATTGTTTCATACTCTGAAGAAGCTGTGGCAATCAATGGAAAGCACGAATATTAATGTAGAATTAATAAAAACCGTCAAGTGCTACAACCAATCAGTAACAAAAATAAAAGCAGGGATACAAATAACAACAGGATTTACAAAATTAAAAGGATTAAAGTAAGGATGTTGTCAGTCCCCCACTTTATTTCAAATATATCTCGAAAGTGCTTTAAAAAGATGGAAACAAAAATGCAGGACAATGGAGATACCGCTCACCAACACTATGGTATATACGCTCAACTTTGCAGACGATCAAGTAATAATGGCTCAAGATTATGACGATTTAAACTATATGGCACAAAAATTAATTGATGAGTGTGATATATGGGGTCTAGAAGTAAATAAAAAGAAAACCGAATACATGCGCATTGAAGTAGAACAAAAAAACTTTTATATTAGACGATAACACAACGATAAAGCACTGCTGTGACTACAAATATCTAGGAATCACTATTTCAAAAGATGGAACATTAGACAAAGCGAAAAGAGAGGGAAATACGTTAGGAAGAAAAGCCATCACAAT